TAAGCTATGATCATAAGCCTGAAGAATATTTTTAGTAGTTTACGAGCTTGACCAAAAAATGTTATACACTATTGAAATAAGTGTAAAAAAAATGTAAATGCTACACATAATACAATCTCTCGAAAAGAATAGGTTTAGTTCAACACGAGAAGTGTTCAAAAAATAACGGGAAGTTTCGTTTTTTGAAATAAAAATATATATATATTCGTCCGTATTAATGTTGCCGCCTTTAGTCATCATTTGCTATTATGCACTTATGTCAGCGCTTATTAAAATCATGCAAACACTTTTGATACTCGATTTTTGGAATAGCATTTAGCTCTTTGAGTGATTTTCATCTGTCTTATAAAAGGACGGCACTTTAAGGTTTTCTTTATATTTGGAAGTAGAAAAAATGTTACACTTTACACGCCCTGCCTGGCGAATATGGCGGCTGGGGCATCGCTACAGTATTGTTTTTGTATTGATATCGGCGGTTCGGACAAATGAGCAACTTTTTGAGAAGAGAAGGTCGTCTGTAAAATTTCAGATCGATATCTCAAAAACTGAGGCAGTAGGTTGCGTATATACAGACAACCCTAATTGTCTAAGAGTAGATAAAGCAATAACCTTCTTTAGATCAAGTTCAAAATTTGCGCCCAACCCAGCTATGAATATAGTTAACCTAGATAATAGCAATAATAAAGCTCCTAATCATCTACCTTTTAAAAATTGTAAAACGAATCAATAAATAAACACCAGCATGTCTAATCGACTCAGTTTTTCACGCTGATCGCCCTTTTCAGGTTACGAAAAGAAAGATTTCATCAAAAATAAAACAATCCGCACATTTAGTCAGCCTGGCAACCCTATTGTGAAAACATCGTGAATACGCTCAACGCATTGTACTCGCAGTCAGCAGGAGTTTGGCGCACTGCTTCTTGTTGAATATTTGAAAGACTCGAGTGCTCGTCGAGTTGTTATTATATTTTTTATGAGCCTTTGTTGATGGCGCAGTGCGAAGCTTTTGAAATGTTTTCCTTTTCTTTTTTTTTTTTGCAGAAAAAGCAGTGTTGGCTTTTCCTTTTGACTTCAAAATTTTTCTAAAAATTTTTTTGTTGTTTTTTGTATTGTTTTTCTTTTTGCTTTTGTGTGTGGGTGTGTGTTTTAGTTATTTGCTTGTGCAGCAGCCGCTTGGTTGTATGAACTCTTCAACAAGGCATGTTGTTGCATATATTAAACGCCATACAAAGATGATATTTGTTTTCAAGATAAAGCCTGTAAAAAGCTTATAGAATTTGTGCGATTTGCCGATACGCGTATTATGCAAAGTAAGCAAAAATGAAGATAACAATAATGCGCGCCAATATGTGGATATGTGTGTATGTAAATATTGATATAGCGGGGATGTCTTAGGTTTGTGTGTGTGTGTTTGCTTTGTGCAGACTAAAATCATGTATTGAACTCTTGAACTCTGCGGAAGTGCCAAGGCGCTTCAAATAAACGTGAATATTACAAGAATTGTTGTTGTAACAACAAGCAAGCAGACAATAAGTTTCAATAACAGTGTTGTAAAAGTGATTGAAAAAGAGTTTAGGAGAGTGTTAGTAGTTCGTGAAATTATAAAAAGCATTTTTCTTCCTGATTTTTGTTAAAAAAGACAAATAAAAACGTTAACTTCGGCTGTTCGTATGGCAGCTATATGTTATAGTGGTTCGATCCGAACAATTTTTTGGAGTTTGTACCATTGTCTTGGATAATGGTTCATGTCAAATTTCGTGAAGATAAAGCTGACAGTTCTTGGACGGCTAATAATCTGGATGAACAGCGGTTGTGACAGGACTGGAAGCGACTTCTCGAAGAAATAGAGGATTGGTTAAAAAATCGGAAAATTTATGAAAAATGATAATCTGTGTATAACATCAATATATGATTTATATATCACATGCGCTTAATTGTCCAAAACAAAACAAGAATCCATCGGTTGTTTTACAAAATTATATAAACCGATCGAAATTCATTGGTATGCAAAGAACGTCGAAGCAAGTGTGCGTCTATTTTTTGGTAAACTTTTCTTTTTGCCAAATTATTAGAAAATTCGTAAATAGACAAGAAGTGACAAAAAAATTTTCACCTAGACTTCTGCACAATGGTACCGGCAAGTGGATTTCACTTCGATCAAACCATTGAATCATTGATCATTCGCTTAAAAGTCGTAGTTTGTGACTCTATGACTAATATCCTTTCCTCACAGCATACTCAGACAAATGAATCAACAATTTTCGATACCAGAAAAAGCGCGATCAAGTGCACCAAGTTTAGTTGCAAATTGTCTCAATTTAAGTGGTAAACGTGTTGGTTCAAAAGTATAAAAATTTATTTATATTTTTTTTATCATTTCTTTTTATAAAATTATTATTTTTAGCCCACAAATATAATAGTAACCTTCGTATCTGTAAACGTTTGTAGTCATATACGCAAGTTTTTTCACTATTTATTTAAATCTTTTAATCGACTTTTATCTTTTCGCGCTCGCAATATTATGCAAGTTTTATGTAAAAACATACCTTGTTTTGTAGAATGTACCATGTTACAACACCATCCTGGGATATTTTAAATGCAGAGAATTATTTTTGGTTTGTTAATTGAAATTTATGTTAATATGTCTTGCAATTGGCGAACAGTTAACATACCTGTAAAGAAAAGGGAAAATAAATTTTCATAAGTAATTATTATTTAAGACATTTTTCAATATATAATAATATATTTATATATATATATGTTTTTAGAGTAAAAAACGATTTTTAAATAATAAAGCTATAGGTATTTCCATAGCTCAGCGAATTTAATTCAATGAAGGCAACAGGCGATAGCAACTGATGTGTTGAATGCATATAAAAGCTCATTAGCGCTGTATACAGTCTCGCTCATAACTTCAAGTTATAACGACCTACCTCACTAACGAAGCAACTCGTAAATTTGTTCACACGAATAATTGTCTAACGAATGTCGGTCACTGGCCAAGCGTTTTTTCCGATAACTTTGTTGGAAAACTAGAGTTCATGTACTCTTTTACAATTAACGGAATGTGTGTCAACTTGTGGGAGCGATAAGATATTTTTGGCGCTTATGATTGCACACATTTTCCACTTTCACACATTAACCTCACCCACTGACTAACCACAACGATGACAACGATGAAAACGTTGATATTGTTGCTTACGACGAGTTGTCAATGTTTACATAAATTATTTACAATCGTCATAGAGAGTTTTGAGTGTCGGTGCGAGTTCAAGTGTATCGGACTCGAAGCGAGCATAAAGTTTATACGCAGTTGGCGTTCTAAGCTGCGTCAAAAAGCAACGAAGCAGCAAAATGTGAAATTTTTCATTTAAAGTTAAATTGCAGCGGAAGAGCAAAGTATAAATAAAAGATAAGCGTAAAAATATTAACAAGTTTGCTTTAATTTGTCAGAATATTTCAATGCTAAAAATTAAATTATATTAACGAATTGCTGTAGTAGTGCCTCGAGTGTGAAAACTGTCAACATTTGATGTCAGCAAATGTTTTAGGTGTTTAATATTTAGGTAATACTACAACCTAAATGAAAAATTTGGCGCTCATGGAGGCGCATTGAAAAAAAAATTTTTTTAGTTGCTTGTTGACAAAAGCATTGTTTTAATAATATAAAAATTCTGTCTGCGTTTACAGAAGAAAGGAATTTCCCATTTCTATTAATATGGAATATAAATGCTCCACTTGTTCACTTAATTTTAGATATTTTGATTTCTAGAATAATTTGCCTTATATTTATGTTAATGTGATTCTAAAATATTATTTAAGAGGAAAGGTCGAGTATCGAAGATGTACTTGTAGGTAAGAATAAACTAAATTCGCTGCTTAGCATAAGTCAACTTAAGCTGTCTTAATACCTGACCTCAGATATATGAGTACTTTTCAATATACTCGTATAGGGTGCGCCATTTTTCTATAGGTATGTAGATATTGATGAATAAGGCGAAATTTTCCCATTTTTGCAAACATTTCTGTAGAATTTTTTTAAAAATATTTCGACTCGTCACGTTAATAGTGACTTCTAAATTATTTGTTTTTCTTTAAGGTTAATGTTATCTAAGCTCTTACTAATATCATTTTTAGTTATGTTTTCAGTGTAAGCCGTCCATGTAGCAGTCTATATCAATCACAAAAATTTTTGTACAGTGTAGTCGATTGAGTCTATTTTTAAAATAGCGATCAGATGATCAATCAGATGGTGAATAACTGTTAACAGTTCGAAAAATAACTATAGTTATTAATTTGCAGCTATTCAAATGATATAATTATGAAGATTAAATTTTTAAAAATATATATTAATAATTTTTCTTGAAGATTTGCAATAACTTTTTAGAATTAAAAATATAATATTTCATTCTTTAAAAGTTAAAACAAAAAAATTTCTTCAAAACAAGGTATTATATATTAAGTCACGATGTTTGTAAAACCTAGAAGGAAAGGTCGGATACCTTATAAAATGTACATATAAGTTTAAATGATCAGCATGACGAGCTGAGTCGATATAGCCGTCTGTCTCTCCGTTCGCCGGTCCGTCTGTCTGTAAGTACGCGAACTAGTCACTAAGTTTTTGAGATATCGATCTGAATTTCTACACATGTTTATTTCTCCACATGTTGAGTTTGAATGCAATGTAAACGACATTGTCACTTATGCCGATCACCTACCAACTTGCTACCAATTTTGCTTGCAACTCTTTTCGGTTAATCACAATTCTTTTTTTCCACTTGCTTTGCCTATTTATTTATCTTTCCAATCATCATATAAATTATGAGTTTTTTTTTCTTTAAAGAATAAATACTCACACAAAATAAATAAAATCAACAAAATGCGAACGCAATCCACAAACAGAGTTTTTTGTAATTTTATGTCCACACAGCAGAAATTTGGTTTAACACAAATTTTTTTTTATGAATTGTTTTTATTTGTTATTTAAATCTTTCTTAAACCCTTAAACCGAATTTCGTTCAGTTATTTGCACTTTTAGTCTTTCGTTGGTCTTCCAGCTGAACGCGCAACGCGAGTAAGCACTCGCTAAACAAACAGTTATTTAACGTGTGTTTTAGTACTTTCGGTTATGCGAAGCACGTAATTGAATTGGACCGGGAGCGTCTGCGTGGAAAAAAACAACACTTTTACAATTATTTTTGAAGAAGTTTTGAAGATTTCTGCGTAGCTATGTGAGAACATTCTTAAATTCTAACATTTTAAACAAAATAATACGAGTGTAAAATGTTTTGGAGTACGACTCTTATTTTCGGCATAACAGGTGATTTTCAATGAAATGAGTTTTGAATAGATTTGGTGATATTTGATTATAAACAGTGCAATTAATTACTGAGATATAAAAAAAAGTTGCGCTAAATAGTGCGAACGTTAGTTATTTTTGAGAATAGTTGGAGCGTGACGTCATTGTTTCTTAGAAAAATAAATCGTAAACCAAATTAAGAATTATATTCAGTGTTTGATAGCATGCAGATAGAAGTAACATGCACGAGCAATACAAAAGTGTTGGCCGTCAACAGTTGATGTTGTCAATTTCATTATCGCTGTTGTTTTTCGTTTGCTTTAGCATTTAGAAAGTAGTATATTACCGTTACCATGCAGAAAACACTTTGAAAATTATAAGTATATACTTGAATGTCGACGGACTTTCTGGCGCATCGCTGAAATCTTTAGTGCAGCCAAATATCTCCAGAAAAATTCAAATATCAGAAAAAACTATACTAATATTTACACTCATTCATCCGTTAACTTAAGAATCGATACTAAGTAATTTTTCTTTTGAACCGATTCAGACTGCGCCGAAAATTTGTGTCCGACTTACTCTAACAATTTTTTCAATGAATGAATAGTGATATCTATGGATTTGATACTTTAAGCAATGTTAAACTTTGTTCCATTATTTTTCGGTTTGATAAACTTTTCTTTGAATCATTCTTCCGAACATTCAAAGAGCCGTTACACCGAATGTTGATATTCTGCACGCCGTAAATAAAAATAACGTTGATTATTATGACTTTATAAGTCATAAAGATAATACTTGAGTGTTCTCACGATAGCGCAGTTAAAGCAGTCTATTAGGATTACATTAAGACTTCAATATGCCGAAGAAAAAAATGTAAACGGCTAAGTCTAGAGCCCTTATAGGCGAGGGTAAACGATAATACCCTAATAAAGAAATAGATTTGTAAAATATTTTAATACTTTAAAGTTTAAGTTTAAGTTTAAGTTTTAAAGTTTTAACACATACAGGGCTTTAGGTGTTATATATATCAACCATTTGAAAATCAGCTAAATGTTAAGAATGCTGGAACTAATCCTGAACAGAGTAATATTAAGATTTTTACGATGTTTGTAACACGCAAAAGAAAACGTCGAAAACTGTTTTACTTTTCTCATCAAGACGCTGTTCATTTGTTGGAATCGCCGATATCGAACATAATATCAAAATTAAAATAAAGATATTTTTATAGCCTTTTATGCTATCAAAAAATGCCCTGCGAAGAGCATTATAACTTCGGGTCAGCTGTAGTAAACTTTTCTTTTGTTATTTATTTAAGTAACCACAGATTTTTTCATTCTTTCAGTTCTACAAAATGCGCACAACGCTCAAGCAAAATTATGGCTTGAACATGCTCCTAGATCAGTCGAGCTGTTGAACAATATCTTGCCACCTAACAGCGAGAGTGTAAACTATAATGTTTATTCAACCGACAGCAATGAAGTCAACGTCATAAATCTGCAGTTAATCAAAGGTAATGCCTATAATGACGATGCTGTAATGGGTGGCAACGAGCGCAATGACAATAAAGATGACCAACAACATTCGGTGGGGGAGCGCTTGAAAGGCGGAGAAACACCAGCACTGGGCGTTAATGCGACAAAAGAAACTGAATATTTGCAGAGCAATGCCACAAAGGGCAGTAAAGAAGAAAACAACAAAAGCAACTGCTTCACTAAAACCACAACATCAATAAACAATAAAAAGCAAGCAAACATTTTGAGTGACAATGCAACTATGAAGGCGACGACCAAAAGTAATACCGGCATATTGGCAGGGCTGTCAATGCGGGTCAACAAAAATGATTTTGTCAAAGTGGATGGTAAAAATGAAACGAGTAAAAATCACATGGAAACAACAGCGACAACAACACCAACAACTATCAAAACAAAGCCAAAAACTTCCACAAGTAGCAAACGAAATATCATTATAGCCAACAATGGTGCTGTAAATGTAACGAATATGAGCACGAGTGCCGCATCACCACAGGCGGCCAACACGAAGCTTTACCATTCAAATGGGTTCCTCAATCCATTCGGACAATTAGTCGCCTTCTTTGGCAGCGACCAATTGCATCTGCAAGACTACACGTTCTTCTTCAATGCCGAACGGCATACCGTTTTCCAGCTACACACCAACAACTACAACAATATTAATGAAAAATCTAACAGCCAGACTGTGGTACGTGTACCAGGTTTGGCCGAAACAGTAGCTGCTGGTAGTGAGCGTGTATTGAATGTGGTGACCAACTCGATTGGCGCAGTATTTGGCGCAAATACACTATCCACAACAGCAGGCGGAACGGCAAATTCAGCGTCAACAACAGCAACTGGAGCAACAATGTGCGCCCATGCCGCGTCCACAATCAAAGTGGAGGAAGTGCAGCTGTACAATGGCAAATCCTTGCGGCAGTCACGTTTCAATCCTTTCAATCCAACACGGTAAGTGATGGCCGACAAAAAGGCTATAAGGGTCAGGCGTCGACAAGATGAGTTATGTGTGTCAGTCGCGCTTATTCAGTGGGCGGTTGCTTAGTGGGATTACGAGTGCTAAAATGCAAAAATTATAGTTAAAGTCTTATCTGTGGATGTGTGTGTGTGTGTTGGTGTGTATGTCGGCGGCAGTTTTGCAACATTTTCAAAATTCGATTTGTGCTAAACGTGATCGGCATACTGGTGAATTCTTTCGGTATCCTATTTGTGTCATAGGGGCACTAGTTGCTCACCAAATGGATGTTGTCTTCGGGCTTGTCCTTCGCTTTGTTGCATTTAACGGCAGTGTGTTGTTTGCCTATGCCACAGACTATTGCACTTCAAAGGTTGCAGATTAAAATGCAACGGTGCGGTGGCTAATTTCATTAGGATACATACTTGTAGTAATTTTGCTGTTTTCCTTTTCTGTTTTTTTTGTATAAAAATTTGTTAAAAAGATTAGACTTTTCTATTAATTTTGGCGAGAGAGAAGTCTTTAAATAGAAGAGGGAGAAAGTGAGAGAGAAAAAGAGAGAGGGGGTGAGAGAAAATTAAAGCGCAAATGGTCCCATGGTTCCTTTGCCTACAAGAAAGAAGAGCTAAGTACGGCTGCAACGGAACATTTCATACCCTTGCAACTTGCAAAAATCAAAGCTGGAGAAATAAATTCAGGTGTTGACAAAACTTTATATTAAACTAGGGGAAGTATTGTCCTGATTTCATTCATGTTAGGCAAGGACACTGTTATTAGAAAGAGATTCTTTCTGAATTTCATTAACATTTCTTACATATTGACCGATAGGTACGGCATAAAGTCGACGGGTGGTTTTATTAAAATATTTATATAGTGTTATATATATTAAGTATATGAGCGCTAAGGGAAGAATTGACACGATTTTATCCAGTGGGGTCCATATTTTTATAAATCAATTATATATTTTTATTTAGTGCTTAGTTATAATACTATGTAGGTTTTCGTTTAATCGCGTTTTGTGGGCGTGACAGTGGTTCGATTACGTCTATCTGCAATACGTAAGAACATATGTAGCAAGTTTCATCAAGATATCTTAATTTTTACTTAAGCTCGGATGAAGCTCTGTTATGTCAGCTGCTTATAGATCCATGATATCTAGTCAAGCGCCGGTTGTTATTAGACAAAATTTTCAGTCATTTCAGATCTCACCTCGGCTTAAAATATACCCCATGTATAAACCGTTTATTAGGATTCGAGAGATAATATTTGTATTTGCATTTAAATTTCAATGTTAAAATAAACAAGTAAGGAAGGGCTAAGTTCGGATGTAACCGAACATTTTATAATCTCGCAAAGTCAAATAGTATACTCGTTTGAGATTTCTTTGTGGATTGACTGATATTTTCGGTAGAAGGTCAACTATAGGCACTGGGGTCCACATATTTAGTACTTAGGGGCTTAAACAGTTTTGGTTCGATTTAGACAATTTTTGGCCACAGTGTGGCATACTTTAATCGCATTATTCACGCAAAGTTTTATATCAATACAGTCATTGTTGCCTGATTTGCATAGTGGAAAGTAAAAGAATCAAGTGGTATTTAAAATGGTGTCATATGGAAAATAGGCGTGGTTGTAGTCCGATTTCGCCCATTTTCGCACTATGACATAGAAACATGAAAAGAACGTTATGTACCGAATTTGGTTGAAAGCGGTTGGGCAGATCTCAAGATATGGGTTTTCACCTAAAAGTGGGCTGTGCCACACCCACTGTCTAATTTTGAACGCGGTTCCTATAAAGTCATCTCATACCATCCCAGAGATAAAATTTAATGTCTCTGGCGTGTTTAGTGCTTGATTTATCGCGCTTTTAGTACTTTTTAACAGTACCGTTATATGGGGAGTGGGCGTCAATAGAAGTGCTTCCAGTGAGTTTTGTTATTATAACGTTAGCGGTTTAGGAGATATGCACATTAAACCTATTAGAGGCGGGACCGACTTAAAAAAAAATTTAACTGCAGATGCCCCTCCTTAATGTGATGCTGTGTACCGAATAACAGTCTTGTATCTTATTGCGGAGCTTAGTTATGGCAATTTATTTGTTTTTGATTAATGGCGTTTTGTGGGCGTGGCAGTGGTCCGATTACGCCCATCTGCAATACCAACCGTCTCACGGTACCAAGAAGCATGTCCACCAAGTTTCATAAAGATATCTCGTTTTTTTACTCAAGTTAGAGCTTGCACGGACAGACGGACGGACGGACAGACAGTCACCCGGATTTCAACTCGTCTCTTCATCCCGATCATTTATATATACATATATAACCCTATATCTAACTCGATTAGTTTTAGGTGATACAAACAACCGTTAGGTGAACAAAACTATTATACTCTGTAGCAACAGGTTGCGAGAGTATAAAAATATTGACTTCATTATCAGGGACAATTAAGTTTTATATATATTGAGTTATATCGTTGTATACATATGTATGTATGTATTTTGTGTTGGCTGTAAAAACAAACTGGTTTATCTATTCACTAAATAATCTTTCCAGTATCAAGTAGGGAACAGACAAGATGTTGTTGTCAATTAGGCTTCAATTGATAAGCAATTAATTAATTGCTTAATTTTTCGACTGTATGGTAGATTTTAATATTAAATTGTCTTAGTTTTTTAATTAAGTACTTTCAGGCAGACGAACGTAGTATTATTTTCATGAGTTGGATTATTAATTTCAATTTTGTCGTTGAACAACTTTTGAGAATCACTTGTGCGTTGATGGTTTCACAAATTCAACTAGATTCTTGATTGACTAACTTTTCCAGTATTTTTTTTTCATATGAGGCGTTGTTACTATATAAATTTCCATATCCAGCATGCACTTTCTCATAGCTAATCTATCATATCATAGTACACTTTTTACAGCCGTGGGTAGAATTTTTGCCAACTTTTCAGTACAGTCGTGTTGAATAATTTTGTGAGACGTTATGTTTTTTTTGTAATTATTATATTTTGACTTAAGATTTTATACCAATATTAATATATTTTCACAATATTCTTAATTTCCATTACGCTTTATCACAGCATACTCATTCACGGTTGGTTCGGCGGCGCAAATGCCGGTATTTATCAGACGCTCGTACCAGCTTATCTCCGACAAGGCGCCGGCAATTATAATGTCTTCACAGTGGATTGGGGACGTGGTGCTGTTGCGGATTACCTCACCGCAAGTTATCGTGTAAAACCTGTCGGCAAAGTGTTGGCGAAATTCATCGATTTTCTACAACGCGAAGCGGGTATACGCTACCAGGATCTACATGTGATCGGCTTTAGCATGGGCGCACACATCGCTGGAATCGCTGGGAAGCATATACAAACCGGTCGACTGCCAGTTATTTATGCGCTGGATCCAGCGTTGCCCTTCTTTCGCTATGACAACTTTGATGAACGTGTTGCGATCACCGACGCCGATTATGTGGAAGTTGTACACACGAGTGTCGGTTCGTATGGTTACGATCGACCGTTGGGGCATGTCGACTTTTATGTGAACTATGGCAGCGCACAACCGGGTTGCTTTCTAAATGAATGCAGTCACTTTCGTGCTTTTCACATATTCGCTGAGTCGTTGCAGTCGAAGGCGACACTACGGGCGCAGGGTTGTGATGTCAAACTATGGCAGGATATGATTAAGCATAGAAGGTGTTTAATGGGCACGGGCAGACAAATGACGTTGGGCGGTAATCCAGCGAATACGACGGCATTACGTAAACGTGGGGGCGTATTTTACTTAGCGACTAATGCGACGCCGCCGTATGCCAAGGATGTGACATGAGGTGGAGAAAAGTGGGCATGCCTTTTGCTTTGCATAATCAGATATTCTTTGCGAGAAATTAAAAATATGAAAAAAAGTATAACAGCAAGCTGCTATGTGTAAGGAAAATTAAAATTGCAATGAGCTCTAGAATACGTTTCTATGGAATGGATTTTTTTTACTCGTAGTGCTCTGTGCAGAAATAGTAATAATTAGTAAGCGCGACTTCTGTGACGTTTTGCATTCAAGCTGCGCGCATACACATGCGCGCCATGGCTTTAATAAAAGCAAATCCCCAAAAGCGAAAATTGTGCACAACAGGGGTGCAGTTATTTTAACTTTCGCTTATACGCCTGTTTGTATGCAATGCGTTTTTTCGATGTGAAAATTGAAATGGAAATTAAAAAATGCTGCCATGTGTGAAATTCCTCTACAAAAGCACATTTAACCCGCATATTCATTATGACTGGCATTTCTATAGTAGCTTTTGGTTGTTGCTGTTTTTTTTTTATTTTCCCATTGCTATGCTATGTTTTCTTATGCGCTGCTGAAAGTAAAAACTCCTCTGTATTACTTGAAAAAAGCTACGTGCATTTCCAATGAATATGTGTCATGTGGTGTTGGTGGGTAACAGCTGACACAGTACTTCCGTTTATGACCGAAATTTTCGCACTGAAAATTTTTATTTGAAATTGTATGTATTTGTTAAATATACAGGAAATTAATTTTTAATAATGAAAAGAGAGTGGTATTGCTTCGCAAAACTTAACGCAACAGCGTTGAATATATGCTTATGAATGCTGAATACAAGTAGCTATTTTTTAAAGCAACTATATATGTATGTGTATAACTAAATCTAAAAACATAACCGACCAACGACTATCTAACAAAAAACGTTTTACTGGTTAACTCTAGCAAGGTTGTTTGATATAAGCAATTTTCAAGTCAAAATAAAGAAAAATGTCTTTTATTAAGTTCTTTATCTTGATTTCGGTCGGTTTTAGTTCGAACTGAATGACAGATATATGCTATAGTGGTCCGTTGTGAAAAACTTGTTTGGAGATTATAGCGTTGCCTTAAACAATAAACCATGCCAAATATTTTGTCAAAGAAAAAAGTTTTCGATACAAAGACTTGATTTTGATCGGTCAGTTTGTATGTTAGCAATATTATATAGATGTCCAATATCGGCGGTTCCGACAAATGAGCAGCTTTTTGGAGAGATCATTCATCGATCGATATCTCTAAAACTGAGGGCAGAAGAACGTACGAATAGATAGAAAGGCAAAAAGATGGACAGCTCGTCACGCTGATCACTTATTTATATACTATATGGGGGTCTCTGATGACTCCTTCTGGGTGTTACCAACTTCGTGGCAAACTTAATTTACCCAGTTCAGGCTATAAAAAATGCACGGCGCAAGTGTTTAAATAAACTTCCTACTTTTGATGAACTAAAACTTTACACTCCTTATATACAGACGTAAAACCACGAAAAGCAAGCTATGTAACCTGAGTAGACAACTTTTGTAAATTTTCACAATTATGTCATTATAGAAAAAGTATTTGAGAAGGAATTCAACATTAAATTAATTGTTGGCAACCCTGCAGAAAAATACAGATAGCAAATTTTTCCATAAAATGAGAAGGTAATTTAAGATACGAGAGTATTTCATAAGGGCATTGAAAAGGTAGTTCATATTCATTAGCTTAAGAAAAGGCTGTCAGTTATGTAGATTTAAAATGCCACAAGCTAAACTACTACATGAATAAAACCATAATTGAGAGAGCACATGCACAGAGATACAAAGAATATATTGGGCAGCTAAAGGAGCCTGTTCGTTGTGATGTCCAGAACTTCTACTTATGGATAAAATGGATAAATATGGATAAATCTGCTACAAATTTATTGAGGCGGCTAATATCAATTTCAGCACATTCACCGGGTTCTTAGAAAGTATGGCAACCGAGGTGCTTTAATCTTAGTCTGTCGAAAGCTGGACAGTGGAGGTGAAAATGTCTAGATGTTTAGACCTCATCTTCTTCCTTACAACTTTGACAAGTTGCGTCCGCCAAAATCTTTATCCTCATCGCGTGAGTGCCAATGGAACAGTGTCCAATTAATACACCTATTATTGTGGCAATGTGAGCCTTGACAAAAAGTTAACAGTTCACCTTTTAGGTTCTATTCTAGGCTAAAAGGCTTTCGCAACCCCTAAGGTGCTGGTTGTTGACCAACGCTTGCTGAGCTCGCGTCAGGTTCATAGGTTCAGCGCTCGTATATACGAAGACAGGGAAACCCCTGCTCGATACCATTATGATGGAATCTGGGTAATACTATGTTCGCACCGAATTGAAATCCTCTTGAAAACACAATTTGTGTATTGTGGAACCAAAGTCATTCTGACCGACATTGTGTGTTTTCGATGAGTTTTCATTGACAGTTCACACATCTATTTGTTTACATTTGTTGTGTACCCTACAAGAACAGTGACGGTCATCTGATGGGTAATATGACAGTCATAGCTGAAAAAATTTTGTCAGCGCGCAGAACAATGTTTCTATCATTTTCTTAAGATCCTTGTTTTCTTTTTGTTTGTTTGTTTTGGTTTTTCTGAGTCATTGCTGACCATAAATCCGTCATAGCTGAAAATTGTCAGTTATGACTGAAACGCTATCAGAAGTGAAAAATTCTTTTGCGCAGTAGATAATATAATTTTTATTTCTTTAATAAATTTCAAACTTTTAATCAAAATTAGTTATAATAATATACTTAAATATAAAAGGGAATGCAACAAAAAATATAATAAAATATGAACATATAAAAATAAATTTTCACTTGATGCCATCTCCTCCTCTCAATAGCTCTGCGTACGTCTTTCTCCAATCAGTGGATAGTTCTGAATTCAAAAATTCAAATGTAAATTAACAGTACTGACATATCAAATGTGAGTGTATTGAATGTAAGTAAATTGTCAACTGACATTTAGGGCTGGCAAAATATGTCTTCTAATAATATCGATTAAACTAGAGCAGGCACCGATTATAATGAGTGGAATGTAAGTTTTCAAGAGGTTTTCAGCAGAAACTGTGTTTTCGTTTGACATATTTTGTATGGATGAAAACACAAGTTTTCGCGTGAAAACCTTTTTTGTCTATGAAAACACGAATTTTGTGTCGGTGCGAACATAGTATAAGAATGCTCTTTCTTGCAAGCTCATCGGCATTAAAGTTTCCGACGAAACCGCTGTGCGCAGGCACCCAGACAAATTTAATATGGAAAAATATATAAAACCATGAAATTTTAATTACTTAATTATATATATGGTAAATATATAATATGAGCATATAAGTATAATCGAAATTATTAGCAGGAGTTAACCCGTTGTTAGCACTTTAGAGCTTTGAATTCGTTGACTGCTGGAAAACAAACGGTTTGACAAGTTAGCCAAATCTTTTAACCCTCACCGATGCAATAATTTATATATACAATACATATATAAAAATTATATTTATATACATAAATTTGTATGTGTTTGTGTAGCTAAGCTGAATAATTTCAAAATTCTTGCTGTGCAATTAATAACTGCATTTTTCCTCTGCTCTTAGCCTTAATCAGAGTTAGTTCGAAAACAAATGTTCGTTGAATTATCAATGGAGAATGCCTGCAGGAAATTGATTATTGACTTCACAATATATTTAGATATCCAATATCTATTAATTTTATAATACAATAGATTTTTCACTGTTAGTCACAAGAATTGTAATATTTAAACATGCAATCATGTTTGCTACATGATTTATCAGTTCAATATATAATGAGAAATACGATTTTCGAGCGATGACAAGCAAGAAACCATAAGCCTAGCTCACACTCTTCAAAAGGCGGAGTTTAATTGGTTTGTAGCCCAATAATTTACCAATTATATTGCTTTTGAATAGAAATAAGCGTGTTAATTTCACGCCCTTTTCTTCATATTTTTACTGTTGCTTTATCCTTTTGCTGAATTATTAAAAAACTTTGTCTGATTGAAAATTATTTGCCTCACTATTTGCGAATTTTCTTAGTGGGTAGCAAGCACAAAGCACAAGCGACAAGTGCAAACTTCTGCAAAGGTATTTACTATTAGTGGCGGCAAAAGTTCTTAATCGGATTTTGCAGTGGTTCGCAAGAGTTTTTGAGGCTTCTTTGCATTGGTAAAATAACTTTGCAATTTCTTTGTCTAATTTGCAGTTATGAAATTTGTTTTTCATGCTTCTATGCATAATTTATTTTTGTCTTGATTTGAAGATATAGTACATATGTAATTAATACTTAAAATACATGTATCTGTGATTTGGTTGTTGAGAACAAATTAAAATGCAATTGCAATTTTTGCTTAGAATTTGAGTTTGTAATTTAATGAAAATCAATCAATTGGAGTTTTGTATAATTGCCGTTAGTATTTACTTCTCTCAAATTGGCTACCATTAAAATGAGTCCAACAACAAATATGGTATTATTTTTTTGGTTGCAAAACAAGTTTTGGCTTAATGGAAAATATTTGAAAATTTCAAAATTATAGATTTCTTTACGTTTAATTTTTACCGATCAATATGTGGATCGTGGCGGTGCAATAGAGTGTTGCCACATTATTTCTGAATAGGGTTACGAAACTGTTTTATTTCTATTTGTTTAATTAAAAATTTATTTAGTTTATCCTTTGTACCGTTTAATATGCAGATCTTAGTGCATTACAGTGTTGCCACATGTTTAGAAAACCTTCACATATGTAAAACCAACCCATGCAATATATTTATTAAATTGAAGAATTTTAAAAATTTTAAAGTAAAACTTTTTTTAAGATGGTTGCCACTTTTTTAAATTATCAATACAGTGAAATTCATAACATAAGCAAATTATTGCAATATAAGTATTAAATTAAGGAGGTTTAAGAGACTCAAAAGATCATAATTATAAGGGTTACCAACTGTTTCTGGATGTCAAACTAACAGGTTTAGAAAAGTTTAGTATTCAAAAATTTTTTTATTAAAATTTTATAATCACCTGTTTTAGAATTTTTATTTCAAAAAAACTTATAAAATAATTTAATATGGATGTCAGAATAAATTGGATTAGAAGGCTTACAATAGAAATTAATTTTTAATTAATTTAATAAAATAAGTGTAATGTTACAATACTGGTGACAGAAAGAACGCGCTTAAGAACGATTTTAGTTGAAAATATTTTTCAGTAGGGTTGCCACTTATATAAAATATTTGATAAAAATAAATTAAATTTCACAAAGAAAATAAAAATTGATAAATGAAAAAAAACTGTGGAAAACGGTTGGCCTCAAGGGCCATCCCTGCAACTTCCCGCTAATTTCATACGCTAACGTTCAAATTTCGCTTTTTTCACTGCTTTTGAGCTCTTCGAAATTTTTCGTTTTCAGTATCTCGCAAGTAAATCAACCGATTTTGACCCGGTTTGCGGCAAACGATGTGTTTTTTCAAGGTTTAGAACTGATTAGTTTTTGGTGTCGATCGGTCAAGTCGT